ATTCCCGTGGGGCCTCCAGCCTTCATATTTATGGTCAGAAGTGATTGACGTCCCTCTCCTCTTCTTGGGATGGGGCAGGGGCAGGATAGTAGTGGGGCTGGAGCCGGCACCACTGCAGCATGGGTGTCACGGGGCAGGGACTGACGGCCCCCAGGCTGGGCTGAGATGGGGCTGGGGCTGGGTGGTGGGAAGCCCATGGCGGGCAGGGACAGGGAGGGCTGCCAAGGCACCCAGGGCCTGGCATCACCTTCTTCTGCTCTCCACTCGGCTTTCAGCACTTAGGTGAAAACTACGGAATGCAATTTTTTCATAAAGAAAGTATTGATATAATGATTTGTCGCCTCACTTTTCCAGGTCATTTACACAGATGTTGAACAATGCCGATGCCATTGCAATTCCACTGGCAACTTCCTACTACTGTGAAACCTGGCAGTATGATCCCACCCTTCTGCCACCTACCTTGTAACTAGTTATTTTTCTTTAGGAGGACTTTACCACTTATTCCAAGACTGCTTAATCCCCTCAGGTGATCTTGATGAGAGACCTTGTCAAAACTCCTTAAAAATCCCTGTGCGCCTAGATCACCGTTACCCACGTATCTTTTTACTCCATCAGTGACCACCAATAGATTTGCGAGTCACAACTGCAATCAAACTGGTGTCGACTTTTCCACAGTATTTCATACTACCTGTGTGCGCGCTTATTCTATTCCTTATCACAGTTCATCTCAAGACACTTAATAAAAATAGTATTGTTTTGTAAATCCGTGAATTAGATCCATTTTTAAAACCTGCTATGGATTCTACTGCAATTGAAGCCATGGGTAAGCAATTGGTTAAACAATGCAGCCGTCATATAGCTGAGTTACTTTAGAAAGGGTGGGTGAATCTCATCTAATCTTGGCAATTTGTTACTGCTCATTTTGTCAGTTTACTCCAAACTTTCTTCTCCTGATGCTTCAGTTTGATGACGAATTCCTTAGACTGGCATATTGTAAAGGTCCCTGTTGTGGGATTCTCTGCTGTGAGTGTTAATGCAAAAGATTCACTTCAATTTTCTGCTAAGGCCTTCACTTCCTCCCATCTCTACAATTCTCCAGCAGGCTATCAGCCTCAGGAGTGTTTGAAATTTTTTTCATGTATAATTCCTTACCTTTAGCAAGCTGCAAATTGGTTTTGGCCTGCCTTTTTGTGATTCTGTGTCTAACTTAATAGAACTCACATTCTTTGCTGTTTTCCTCATTTTGCCATTCTTATGCTTGCTGAGGGAGTTTGTTTACTTCTAATAGTTTCTTTCACTGTTTAGTTCTACAGGTTATTTTCCTGGTCCAGGCAAGGATGTGAACCAGGGATGTCTAACCTTAAGGCAGTTTTTCTGATTACACAGCTGTGGGCTATTCTCTTTTTGGCCAATTTGATAGGCAATTTGGAGCACAAGCGGTATGGATGTGTCTGGGGAAGGTGTGGGTATATGTAGGTGGTGGGAGTGATAGACTTGCCTTCTGCAAAACCTGCCGCTCTGAGTAGTCTTTCACGTTACTTACAAGAACTATTGGTTTCTCAGCACACAGATACGCACCTAACTGAAATTTTGCTATTCATGACTTGGTAACTCCCAGCTAGGTAATGCCAGTTAGCTAGAAAGCTCAGGCAGTGTTTTGAAGTTAAAGACATTAATACCTGAAATGTTTAAGTGTCCTCTTTTTCCCATCACAGTTAAGCCCCTATCTGAATTAAACTTTTTTCCTCATCTCAGCAACATCCTGATAGGAAATAAAAAACCGCTGTCTTGGACATTAACAAAGAATCAATGGAAAGAAAGACTCAGGAGGGAGAAAATTCTCCTCCTTTGGGAACATGAACTGGATCTGTGATGTAAATGCATTTTGATATCAAGGGAACATCTGAACCAGAGGCACCCACAATTAATACAAATTTCATGCCGGCTTACTCTTTCCTCATTAGATTTCACTGTGTATTAGGACTATATTTGTAAGACGTAGTCTGAACTTCATGTTGAAGAATAGTCCTGCTGCTGAAAGAGCAGTAATTCATTTACTAACAGCCCTCGTTGCCATGCTTCAACAACATAATCGTTCTCCCTCGTCCCAACCATATGATTATTCCTGTTGTGTAGGAAATGTAACTCCAAGGAATGTCAGATCAAATATAAAAGCGTAGTGCTTACCCATAGTTTTTATTCAATTAAGTAGCCATTACAGAGTTCATGCTATTTCAAATGACATAATGCAGAAAGTAAATGCAGTCCTTTATTATAAAGATATGTTCACCTAAACAAAATGGCACAACACAATCCCAACCCATTACAATTTTTAAATTATTATCCTAAGGGGATTATTAGATGGTGAACAGTCTCTGGGGAAAATAGGCAGGGAACCTGTGGCCTCCACAAACTACTTCTAGAGCACTGCAGAAGTGTTATTTGAGGTTTATTTGTGAAATTCCTAGATGCAGTAAGCAACAAAGGAGAGTTGGTGATGTTGAAATATGCCCCTAGAGAGAAGGCATGGAACTGCAGCTCGGAGAACTGACTTTGTGTGTGAACTGCAGTAAGTCACACCCACAGCTGGGGTCTGTAACAGGCATAGGTGTCTGAGGAAGGTCTGGGTGACATTTAGGGTCTTATCCTCAAACTATAGGATCTAAAAAGCCCTGTCCATTCCTGTCCAGTTTTGCTGTGCTCGTGAAGCACCTCACATGCTGTGTCAGCACATGCCCACACCCTCTCTGCCCAATATACCAAGAAGCCCTACCTATCCTGCTTTGTCCCAGGGCTCCTACCACCCAGTGTCTGCTTCAGGCTCCACGCTAGCTTGTTGCCCAGCACCATAAGTGCCTTAACCTGTATAATGCTGAGGGCCTTCTCTTTGCAGAACGGCAGCCTGCCTTTCTCTGGTGGCTCTACACCCTTTCAGTATTGCCCTAATGGCAGCTTCTCACAGGAAGCAATTGCCACCACTGTGAGACTCACCCCTTCCTTCCACCCTATTCCTACCCTTTGCTTGTAACTTTTAGTTTGCATTAGGGGACCAAATAATATGCTTGCACAAAGCTTAACTACCCAGCATGCCACACCTGTGCTGCACTAAAGTGTGCTCTAATCAGTGCTAACGGCAGCATAAGTGGGAACAGCCAACAGGGATTCTGAGTAGGTCCTGATGGAAACAGTATTGTTACTGTGGGCAAAGCATTAATGGGGGGATCATCTGCTGCACTGGAGAGGATACCCAAGGAAGGAGGCTCATCTCGGGACTTCTATCATTTCTCCTCCCGGCTGGCCACTAGGAAGAGTTTTTACTTTCCTTTTTCTTTCTTTTTCTCTCTCCTTTTGTTTTATTTTTCCTCCAAATTAACTTTCACTATTAGAGTTGATTATGCCCTCAGGTAGAAAGCCTGCTAATAAAGATTTGTGCATACATGCCTGTTTCAATATCTTTTGCGCAATAAAAGGCAGTCACAGCTGCTGCTTTTCTTTCAAAGGTGCAGTCACAGAAATATTTTCTGCTATTTTCATTTGTATTTTATGTCAAATAAGCATTGGACAAACACAGAAGCAGATCTGGAATCATGAAGCAAAACTGAAGATGTGTCAGACATCTTCCACATGTACTGTCAGAACTACAAAATGGACCATGTCTTCTCCCACCAATAAGCGCTCAACTTTTTTGCTGCCAGATGCACTAAGAAGATGAAATTGGCCCCTGCCAATCCATCTTCTGCCCTGGTGACTGGCAAACTTCTGTGTGAGGTGGGAGAGGAGGAAACGAATCCCTCTAGGCAGATCAGGGAACTACACCTAAATCTCTCATATCTGAAGCCCTCTCAGCTCCAAGCTGTTCACCTGAGGGTAGACAAGGCTGCTGCCGCTCAGCACTCCTGCCTCTGATGAGGCTTGCTCTGCTTTCTTGAAGAACCACTGCAGACACCTGCCCTTCACAAAGTGTTTTTGTCTGTGATTTCCCCAATGGATTGAACCCCCAAAATTTGCTGTTGAAGCTAAGTGCAGGATAGGATTTTTGATGTGTTTCTGCATGCTGCAGGTCCTACTGGCTGGATCTAAGCAGCTCCTTGTTCTGAACACAAAGCATTTTTTTAAACTTTTCTGAAGACTCCAGCATTATACAGGCAGCCAATTTCTGAACACTTATGAGGCCAGGCAAGAAGAGATTCTTAATTAGGACCAGCCTCAAACAGATCTATTAGTCTTTTATAGCGTGGAGAAAATAGAAATACTTCCCAATTTAAGACCAACATTGTTGTGGTTGCTTTCTATTAACCAAAACTGGGATAATATGACGACAGGGCAAGGACCTCATATAAACTCACTTTAAATTAGGGCATAGTGTAGCTGGAGACAGAGTCTGTTATGAATTACTCAACGAATGCTAAAAATTATAGGAAAAGAGAGAAAAGGGGTAGAAATATTTACTGTTTATGTAGACAGTGAACAGCTCCATCAAAACAGAGAGTCTAGAGGGTCAATTTCTATTTCTAGAAATAAAAAAACTTTCAAAACGTTTCTGGAACTGGGTTTTGTATTTTGTGTTTGTTTTTTATTTCTTTTTTTTTTCATAACAGTCAGTGCAGTCCAAACTGTGTAATTCTGAATTTTGTCACCCAAAGGGGAAGAGCGAAGGCAATTTCCTCAACTAAGCCATTTTATTGGCATAATTGGAAAACAAAAACAAACCGCTCGCTGCTTTCTACACCTCTTCCCCACATGCCAGCACCTGTCTGCAACTTTTTACTTTCAGCTCATTATGGGAAAGTAATTTTATTGCCACATTTGGCTGGCAGCTGGAATTCTCCAAATGAGCAGGGCTGAGAGGTGTGCTCTCTTCCCTCAGCAAAAACGTTGTAACATACGGTGCTGTTATGTCTCCAAGCTTTAAGTGAAGAGGAAAATAGGCATCTGGGCTGGGTTCGTTTGTAATGCTGTGCTGGCTGGATTAATATGAAAAGATAGATGAAGGCAGATGCTTTAATTACTTCATCCTAACTTTTTATTACAACATCAAGTAAAATGGTGAGTTACAGAAGTTAACGGGTGTGAAACACGTGGGATGAAGTTACGCACAAGCTCATTGTTTGATATCTGCCAAGGGGTTTTTAAGTATTGAGAATTTCTGTACATGCATCTTTGTGTTATTTCTGATTTTCCTGATAAATCATTTCAGGATTGCTTCACTTTAAGGTGTGAGGTAGCTGCTAAGACTGGGACCCCGCTTTTTTCTTCTGGAATTTCCTGAACTGCGACTGTATCGCCACTGCTGCCCGCTCTGTCTCTGGTGCATCCATGTCTATGTCAAATTCCTCTTGAACTTTCTTCTGTCCATCTGCCCAGAGAAAACAAAACAAAACATCAGTACATCTTTCAAACAGTGAAAATCACTGAATGCACAGGTGAAAAACCCTGCTCTTCTCTCTGTCACACAGTTGGCATAATTGGAAAACAAAATGATGGGAAGCATATTCAAAAAAATCACTGGGATCACTTTCAGCAGACACAGGTGATCGCATCCCTTGCTTTCTCAAAAGCAGGGTCTGTGACAGCCAGTTTGTACTTAGACACGGAGGAGCAACATTCACGTGGTACTTGGCAGTCACAGATCATCCCTCTGGCACCTCAAGGAGACGAGCCTGCCTGGTTAATGACACAGATCAGGGACCTAGTCAGAGGCAGAGGCCATGAGGGGCAGAAGGAGTCTCCTGTGCAGCCCATCAAGTAGAAATTACTCACTTCCTTGTATTTACACTATTCTAATAAAGGCCAAAAGAAAGACATTTTGAAATCTATTAAAATTATGATAAAGACCCTGGCCCTACCACACCTCCTGCATCAGAGGAAGAGATACTACTTCCTAAGGTAAATTCTCATCATTTTCGCTTCTTTCCTGCCTTGGCCCCTTCAACACAGACTGCCCTTCCTCTTTGGCTGGTTGATGTTCCATCTCTGCTGTTTTGCTGCCTCTATGCTGCTTCCTACTCTGCTCTCCCTGCTGTATTGCTCCTTTTCAGCTTTCATCCTTGGCATGTTGCCTTCCTTTAGTCCCAGTCCTCAGTATTTATTCCAATTGCATTTGGCCTTCACATGGACAACCTGGCTAACTTTGTTGCATTTTGCTTCATATGCCCCCATGTTAGAAGTGCAGCCCTGGGGAAATGCTCACTCTTGCTGCAAAGGAAGCCTAATCTGGACTAACAAGAGAAACACACATTCACTCCATTGACCTAAGCATATCCCTGTGCTTCTGTTCTCTATAACCTTGTTTCTTAAACTCACTTATGATATTGTTATAGCCCAGTCCTGCAGTAAACATCATGCCAAAAGCCTGCAGAGAGCTCCACTTAAAACAGGTTTAGGAGTTCACCCACTTTTTGAACAACTTTCCCTTTGATTCTTGAGATTAATGCCTCTAGGATGCTCACCCCCCAAGTAGTGCTAATGAAAATCAAGAGAAATACTTCCAAAGATATTATTAAAAACCAAACGAACTTATTCCCTTCTCTCTTTCTCCCTCCTACTAGAAAACAGGGATACCATCTCATGATTTCAGCATGAGCGCTGAAGCATTTCTTGCTTTTTCTTCTTCTTGTTCAGAACTGATTTTTTTCTGTCCATTTTCCATGATGACAATCCACTCTAATCTAGGCGAATATTTGAAAGAGAAGGTTTTGGCACATTCCAGGCTGATTTTACTTCAACTAAAATGACCTAATAAATGCAGTTAAAAAGTTAAAAGAAATGCTCACTTAATACTTCATTTTGAAGAATATGTAGGAAGAAAGATGAATATGTAAGAAGAAAGAGAGTTTGGAGAACAACTTGAGAGCTTACAGTAACTTTGATTACATGGTATAATGCAAAGATTAGTTACTCAAACTAAGACTTTATGGAATAAAGTGAATGTTATTAATATCAGTCATACTTCCACAGCCATGACATCCAAGAATCTCTATACTTTGTATAAATATTCATACAAACATGACTGCCTGAAGTACAGAAATAAAATTATCACCTTATTTTTCAGTGGGAAAGGGAGATGACAGTTGGAAGGGACTTGCTTGTGCTCATAAGTCATTTGCACAGCCAAGGAAAAAACTGAACTGTGACATTAAAGCCATATTATAGACTGAAACTTACAGGTGCTTGTTACAGAAATTGGAATGTTAGTACCAGTTTCTAAAAAAAAAAAAAAAACTGCAACAGGACAATATGTTTAGTGAAAATTTTCCAATTGCCAGAGCCTGTCTCTTCCACACTGTGTGTATGTCAGAAAACAGAGATTCTGCAGCAACATTTTATTTTCTCATATCAAATTTAAAAATGACTTAGTATCATTTTGCTTGGTATTTTGGAAGGTTGATTTTGATTTGGTTTTGGGGAGAGTAAAAGGGAACTAAGACAACAAATCAGAGCATTTTATATGGAAACAAACCAAAAAGGACTTGCATCATCCTGTGAAAAACTATGACTTTTCAAGCAAAACATGCAAAAAAAAGACTATTCATTTGAACTTTTTTGAATTAAAAAAAATCAGTGGTCTGACTAGCTCTAACCACTAGCTCTAGTAACCACTTTGTGATATCAGTAATAAAAACTTCTACTTGTCCACATGTCAGAATCTCTCCTCTATTCATAGGGTCCTATGAACTTAATGTTCTTCTAAGGAGAAGAATATCACTTCGGGAGAAACATTCTTATTCTTGATATATTTTATCAAAATATTTACACTGCTTATGTAAGAAGTACTCAGGCAGCTCTGCAACTGACTAATGTCACCTCCTTGCTGAATGATTTTTATTTCTGTTGTAACATTCCGCGCTGCAGGTTACTCTCTAGCCCGTTACTAGACACACTTGTCAGTCTTAACATTAGAAGACAAAAGTGGAGCTTACGCATCGCTTCTAGCTTTTTGGTATACAAACTGCTTTCGCTTAGCAATGTCAGTAGTGAAAGCTAGGTGGATGGATGAGTAGATGCAACTGGTTTCATACCTCTCAATGATATCTGGCTTGTGTAATTCATTCCCTACAATGGCAAACTCTCAGTGGTACGTTGGCTTGCAGTAGTTTGCAGTAGTGACTCAGCAATCTTACATTAAGATTCTATAGACTTAAAAAATCCAGTATCTAATATAATTTTTCTCTAAATTCTACACTACTCAATCTTTGCCTGATGGGAATCAGCATTACCATTAAAGGCAACGGTACTGCAGTAATTTACCATACCTGGAGATCTATCTGACTTCCTTTGATTTTTGAACACAGTCTTGTTAAAACTGAAAACAAAATTCCTAATGAACTCTTTCTGTATTTCTCGTTTTCCAGTCACTAAAGAGATGAATGGTAGGATGAGAAGCATCCAGCCATGACTTAAACTTCTAGAGTAAGAAATCAGAAATTTTCAAAGGGGCTGAAACATTATCATACAATATGTACATCATTTATACATAACATGTGACGCACCTGTAAATGTTTTCTCCCTTTCTCTGTCTTTCTGTATGCATGTATGTGTATATTTACACACACACACTTCAGTTTATATAGAATATATATGAATATATATGGAATTACACACACATTTTTTTTAAAGGGTTGTAAGTCCTATGATAAACTGAAAATAGCTAGACAGGGTATTCCATAATTGTTGGGGGTGGATTTTCTTGCAGTTCTCCCTAAAACATTTCCTACTGATGACTGTCAAAACAAAGATACTTAACAGATGGATTGTCGATCTGCAGCAAGAATCAAGGGATGTATCTTCTTTGGCTTTGCTTACGCTAAGGGAAAAAGATAACGCTTTTAGCCTGAACTGCTATATTCAAATAGCCTACCGATGTAAAACATTTCACACCCCTGCTAACTATACTGCTTCAGTTTTACTGTTAGTTAACATTAGTCAAGAATTGACTCAGTGAATTACAGTGAAAACAGTCTGTATTCAGGACCTGCACAGACTAAGGTCACCTTGTTGCATAAATACGAGTGACAGAAAACCTTTTTGCACTCTTTCTACTACATAGACACCTACGCCACACTAGCTTTTACTTGTCAACAGCATGCATACATCTCACATACCCAGCTTTATCCATTGTTTGAATGCTCAAATCATGATATTTATGCAGAAACTGAATTCAAGCCCAGACAAACATCACACCTTCATTCACTGTCTCCCGCTCCCAGCTTTTCTTTCAGAAGGGATGGTTAGCTTTGACGTTATCTGCAAACCCAGGGAATTTTCACTCTGAACAGGCAAGAGACGTGCTCTTGCTCTAGGCTTACTGCTGGACTTGTTTTTTCATTCCTATCAGTGGGTGTCAACTGTTCTGTTTGATAGGAAGCCACCTTTATCTAAGCCATTTTTATGTAGCCATAAAGGTCGATCTGGTTTTCCCCTTATACACATGCACATGCACATGCACACACACACACACACACGCACGCACGCACGCATACGTGCGTGCATACACACGCACTTTTGTTGGCATCTACGCTTTCTAGTCTAATTTAGGCGTAGATTTTTCCACTTGTGGTTCATGGATCCCTGAGGATCTCTGGCCTTCTTCCGCAGGGCCACATGAGGCAACTAGAAGGAACAAGACTGTTGTCAGTAGACTTCAATTCACAGTCCAGGGACTGCCAATTCCACTGAAAAATCTTGAGGGGTCCAGAAATCAAAAAAGGTTGAAAAAGCACTGGCCTGCATCTTCCACTTCACAAGGGGATTTGGCTTTATTAACACCTGAAAAAATAAAATTCCTAACCTCTCTCACTAGAGTTAGCTATTTCAAGGCTATCCCTGAAAAACTTCTTCATGCTTAGTCCCAGTTCCCTCTCTTAGGTAACAGCTCCCATCAACCCTATGTATGTGCCATGAAGAGTCAGGGGAATCAGTTGAGCGTCCCTGCTGAGTTCTGCTCACTACCAGCAAGGGAGGTGAACAGAACAGTCCTAGCCCTTGTCATGCGCTGGGACGCAAAAAGTGTAGTATCTCATGACTTTTTCAAAATCATGTGTTTAACGTGGATGGACTTTGAGCAGATGACAACTCAGGCAAATCTGAGCTCTGATGGAATGAACCTCCGGGGGCAGAATAGGAACTTCTTGATGAGTCCTGCCATCATAGGGAGCACCCTGTCCTTCAGCCTGGCTTTTCAGACTACTTTGCAGGTCTAAAGATAGAGACAACTTGCACAGCGCATATTTTACTTCAGTGTGTGTAACAGACATCCCAGCAGGACAGCATGAAACAGCATCTAATTGGCTGTTTTCTGAATCTAACATCCTGAAAGCTCATTTCACATCATTGCAATTGAAAAAGATACATTTATTC